CTACTACTACCACCTACTAGCGCCCAGCGCTGAAGACTACTGCTATAGCTACTAGCGCCCAGCGCTGAAGACAACTGCTAAGCTACTCCTGCAAGCGCTCCTCCTGAGTGCTGCGGCTGAATCCTGAAGACTACTCGTGCCTACTGTCCAACTACCTACCCGTGAAGTGCATGCGAAACCCCTATGTACTACTCGGCCTGGACTGGCTGCAGGCGAGGCAGCAGTCCAGGAGGCTGCTCCTGCCAATGCCAGGACAAGCCAGGGGCTGTCGCTGCAGCTCCTGCTGAAGCTGGCGTGGGGAACAGGCTAAGAATAGCCTGTTCCCAAGACCCTGGTTTGTTGCCTGAGTTCTAGGGCAGGACAAACACAATGAGGGCCTGAAAATAGTCGTCCGTTTCAGGCTGAAAAGCCTCTGGGCCTGAAAGGCCCAGAAATAGGCTGAAAACGGAATAGGGCCTGCAGGCCCTCGTTTTCAGTTTCAGGCTGAAACGACCGGGGCTTGTAAGCCCTATTTTCTAGGCTTTTAGGCTGAAAGTGCGGGATGGGCCCTGCCGGCCCGTGTGGCTACACAGTATGCCACACCCCCCCCTCCTTGAAAGACCGAGCTTACTTGCGAGGGTGAAGCTGTTTGTCTGAGGGGGGGACCACAGTCCGGGTGGGAGGGGCTGGTCGTGAAGCTTCCTGAGCTAACCTTTGCTTCTCATAATGCGCGTAGATCAGCGGTGCGGATGCTTTCAAATCTGCTCCTGAAATCCACCGAGTGTCGTCGCGATCGCATGCTTTGAATGTAACTTTGTACTGTCGCGGCTTGCTGCCGTACTTGCGATCGGTGATGACGCGGTCAACTTCCTGATGACCATCCATAGAAGGAGGGTCCTGCGATCGTCGGCCCGGAAAGTCGTCGCTCTTAGCTGGCGTGTATGTTGCCAGCTTCGAGGCGTGAAAGACTGGATGGACCGTCAGGTGCGGGGGGATGTTGATCACAAATGATGGGCCATCGTGCTCATCGCCCGCGGGCCATGGTCCAAACCACTTGGGAAGCAGTTTGCGTGAGACATCCTGTTCCAGTGCAAACTCTCCCGCGAAAACCCAAACCAGGTCGCCGGCGCGGATGGAACATAGCACGCGATGCTTGTTGGCTTGCTGCTGCATGCGGACTTGAGCCTTTTGCATATTCTCGCGGGCTTGAGCCAGCAATTCCCTCTACTTCCGGACGGAAGCGGGAGAGCAAGCGGCATCGATGTCGGCTGGTCGTGGGAGGAGAAGGTCGGCGAAGATCCGGCCTTTCCGTCCACCGTGGTGCAACTCGAATGGAGTCACGCCGATCGCCGGGTGCACCGAAGTGTTGTAGGCGAACTCGATGTCGGGGAGGCGGTCAACCCAATCTTTCTGGTCCGGACGGATGAGCGTACGAAGCATCATTTCAGCGGTTTGATGTACCCGCCCCGTCTGCCCGTCTGTCTGAGGATGTCGAGCCGAACTTGGTTTCATTGTTGTGTCGGACTCCTGCATGAGAGCAGTCCAAAATACCGACATGAAGCGTGTGTCGCGGTCGCTGACTATGTCTTCCAGTACACCACGGCCGCAAATCCAGCCGGTGTGTAGGAGGCGTGCCAGCTCGGGAGCCGTGGAGTAGTACTCGCAAGGGAGAAAACACACGTACTTACTCAATCGGTGCACGACTGTGAGGATGCCTTCGTGTCCGCGGTCGCGGGGGAATGGTCCGGTGACATCCATGGCAATGGAGAGACCGGGTTCCTATGGGATCGGCATCGGGCACAGCTCGCCGTAGGGGTTGCGGTTGTGGGGTTTGCTTCGTCGGCAAACTTCGCAAGAGTCGCAATACCTCGTGACGTCGGTGATGAGGTCGGGCCATCGGAATCGCTGTCGAAGCCGTGCAATGGTGCGGTTGACTCCGAAATGGCCGGCGAGTCGCGAGTCATGGTACTCGCCGAGAAGGCGAGTCCGAAGACGACGGTCTCGTGGGACACATAGTAAGTCCTTGCCTCTCGAGTGGAGGAGCAAGTACCCGTCGGCAATGCGATAGTGGCTGGCCGGCGGGTGATCCGAAGATAACTACGCATACAACGTGGCGAAGTCCGGATCCTACTCATATCCCCGGATGAAGTGTCGCTGAAGTTCCTCGTCGAATGCGAAGGCATGATGTGTCATAGCGCAAAGATCAGGTCTTCGCGAGAGTGCATCTGCTGCGCGATTGGAGAGGCCGAGAAGATGTTTCGGTGTGAAGTCGAATTGGTCGATGAAGAATATCCATCGTCCAATCGTGCTGCTCACCATATCCTGCGTCTTGTAGTAGGTCAGTGGGTTGTTGTCCGTAACCCATGTGAACCTACGACGCCCAAGGAGGAAGTGCCGCCATCGCTTGAGAGCCATCACGAACGCGAGCAGCTCCTTCTTCCTTGCATCATCAAGCGAGTTGATGGGAGGCACTTTGTGGCTGAAATACTCCACAGGGTGCCAGTCGTCGCCGTCGTGTTGTTCCAAGACTGCCCCAATAGTCGGAAGCGTCAGTTGTCACTCTCGTAGGCAGGGTGGGGTCATAGATGCTAAGGACGGGTGCCATGAGCATGGCCGTCTTAACTGCTTGGAATGACCGGTGTGCGTCGTCACCGAGTACGAATGGCACCTTTGGCGATTGTAATCTCGTCATCGGTGCAGCAATCCTTGAGTATCCGGTGATGAATCGCTGATAGTAGCCCGCCAACCCCATGAAACGTCCGTGGTGTCGGTGGGCTCGGGCCATACGCGGAGGGCCTCGATCTTGTCCGCAAGCGGACGGATGCCTTGCGGCGTCACATAATGTCCCAAGTACTCGAGCTCCTGCCGCGCGAATTCGCATTTGTCGCGGTTGGCTTTGTACTTGGTTTGTCGTAACCGTTCCAAAACGGTGCGCAAGTGTTCCACATGCTCGTCCAAACTCCGGCTGTACACCAGGATGTCGTCAAGGTAGATAAGTACGAATCGATCCAGCATGTGTCGGAACTCCGTTGTCATAGCCGCCTGGAAAGTGGCCGGGGCATTTGTAAGGCCAAATGGCATAACCAGCCATTCGAAATGCCCATATCGCGTCTTAAACGCGGTCTTGTAGCGGTCCATCTTCTGAATCTCGAGTTGGTGATATCCCGACTTGAGGTCCAACTTGCAGAAGAACTTGGCGCCGCCCAGTCGTTCGAGAAGGTCGTCGATGCGTGGGAGAGGGCCGACGTTTCTGATCGTTTGCGCGTTGAGCTTGTGATAATCGATGCACAACTGCAGATCCTTGTTCTTCTTCCGGACGAAGAGAACAGGCGCACCGTATGGCGATGAGCTAGGCCGAATCCAGCCTTTCTCCAGAAGGTCGTCGAGTTGTGCCCGAAGCACACTCAACTCTTCCTCGCGCATTCGGTCGGTAGCTGCAACCACGCGGAGGTACGGCCCCGTCCTCGAGGATGGTATGTGGCGGATGGGCCGATCCGGTACTACTCCGTGCGGGCCTTCGAACACGTCGCCGTAGGCGTCGAGAAGCTCGGTGATGCGAGGATCCGAAGATGAGTCCGTCGGTGAAGCGTCATGGGGCGGGAGGGCGTGGAGAAAACACACCCCCATCTCCTCGATGTCGTCTCTGATGATGGAAGCTCGCATGCTTGCGGCGGATACCACGTGGCAGCTGATGGAAGGGTGAGGAGGAGGCACCGTGCATGGGACTAGTACTCCGTTCCGATCACGAACGTGAACGGTGAGGCGGTAGAAGTTCACCAAGTGGTCCTCGCTTCGCAGCCATGACATGCCCAAGATCATGTCGAATTTGGTGTCGAGAATGTCAAAGGACACCGCCTCACTTGCGTGAGGGGCAAAGTACACTGGGACATCATGAATGCACCGGTCGATTGACTTGTGCGTGTGACTGTCCGCCAACGTGACTTGCGTAGGCAGGGACTTCCTCCGGACGCGTGGGCCAAGGCCGGCGCGCACCATGAAGTCCTGGTTGATGTAGTTGCGAGATGCTCCGCAATCGATCAATGCGCTGCAGGTCGCCTGTCCGATCTGAATGCGTACATAAAACAAGGGTGCGTCGATGTCGTCGTACCGTTGCGTCTTGAACTCGTGGTCGATCTTCGCAATGTAAGCGTGAAGGTCGACAACCTCTGCTCCGGCGTCCATCAACAGAGCTGGTACTGCAGTGTGCAAGTAATCCCGCAGTTGTGCCATGAGCACATTGCAATGCGGTTTTGGCAATTGACCGGTTGGGGGAACGGGCATCCACTGGAAGTCCGCGAACGTCAGTGGGTCGAGCACCTGAAGTCTTGACCACGATGATGAATCCCCGGCGATAGAAAGCGGCGAAGCTGCCGAATCGGTTGCCGATGGTGGTGAAACCGTGCATGCGGTGGATTGTTGCACGTGGAGCGGTTGGTCCAGCGGTGGGACCAAGTGGACAGCATAGTCCTCGTAAGCATAACGAGAATCTACGACATTCGCATCCTCCCCAGATGTGTAGGAGGCTGCTAGCAAGGCGGCCGAATCTGGCGGAGTGGGAGGTGGAGTCGCCTCACCTCCCGCGAAACTCAGTTTCCCGAGTTGAGACGAGGCCGCATATCCTCCTTGCCCTAATCCTGGCAGAGGGAGGTCTTGTGCTTGGTGCTGTTGCACCAGTAGCAGCAGCAGTATCGGCCGCGGTACCTGTACTCCGCCTCGGTCAAGCCGAACTTGACCCATGGTGCTGGTTGTTCGTTTCCGGCCTGCGATGCTGATTTCGCCTTCCCGTTTCCTCGGGACTTGTTGTTGCTTCGCGGCTGGACAGCAGCCACCTGATCTCCCTCACGTGACGCTTGGGTGGCTGCCGGGTCTTCCACAGTGTTGTTCGATTGGACTGCAGCGAACTGCTGCTGTCGCGGACCAGTTTTCATCTTCTCCACATAGGTTGGCTGCCACACTGACCTCTCGTGTGCAGCCGCCCTGTTGGTCTTGATGATCTCCCTCGCTTTGTGAATGATCTCAGCGAAGGTTGCATACTGCTCGCGATCACCAAGAGCAAGGCTGAATGCAGCGCATGACCTGTTGTAGAACTCACGACGCAGATGCGTAAATGGCAAGTCGAGATCGGGCGTTGCCGCGATCTTGTGCCATTCCGTGAGCCAGTCACGTGTTGCTGTGTTGCCTTGTGTCATGTTGAAGAGACGGTTGATGGCGAGTGCAGGTGCGTCGTCCACGATGAACCGCTTCTTCCACAACCGTGTTAACTCTTCCCATGAGATCTTGTCTTTCAGATCTGCGACGTCGACGCCGTGGGTGGCTGCCAGGTGGGTTAACCAGATCTGGCATCCGCCCTTTGAGTTAAGAAACAGGGCGCCGATGTACGCGTGCTTGGCGACTAACAGAATCCGAAGTTGCGTCGTGAAACCTTCCCACCAGAGGACCGGGTCCTGATGCGTGTAGTCATTTGAAAAGTTGGCATCTTGTAATGCTGTGTGCTGTTGCCATTCTTGTTAGGCAGCTGCAGTTGCTGGACCTCGGTCTTCAAGGTATCCAGCTGATTGCTGATGGTGGTTGGTGCCTCGAAGGTGCTGATGTCGCCGAGCATTGCGACGATGTGGTCGACGCGTTCCTCCAGTTGGCGGGTAGAGGGTGCACTGCTGGACTCGCCAGCATCTGGTCCTGGTGCAGCTTGCTCCAGGTCCAGTACACGGGAATTGAGTGCCTGTGTAGCATCCTCGTGGCTCTGCCCTGTCCGGCGGAGGTTCGCCAACTCCTGGTGCTTTTTCTTCAAATCCTGGTACTGTTGCTGCAGTTCCTGGTTCTGTCTCTGTAACTCGGACTGTTGGTAGTTGCAAGCGTATAACAACCGTGTCACGAGTTTGGAGAGGAACTCCTTGTGCTGCTCCTCCGGTGTTGCGTCGTCGTGCCCCTCGGATGGTTCAAAGTGCCAATGCTGTTTCTTCAGATCCTGGTACCGTTGCTGCAGTTCCTTGTTCTGTCTCTCTAACTCGGACTGTTGGTAGTTGCAAGTGTATAACAACCGTGTCACGAGTTTGGAGAGGAACTCCTTGTGCTGCTCCTCCGGTGTTGCGTCGTCGTGCCCCTCGGATGGTTCAAAGTGCCAATACTTGAGTCTTTCGATGCTGGCGGCTTCATGCCGCTGCAGCAGATCCTGGGTCTCCTTGCGGCGTGCCTGGGTATCTGTGTCTGCTTCGGCCTGTAGCCGCTGCTTCTCAGCTGTTGCCGCTGCTTCAGCCTGTAGGCGGGCAGCATCGGCTGCCAGCTGGCGCTGTTCCTCAGCCTCGATCAGTGCGAGCTGAGTCTGGAACCGCTGTTTGTAGTCGGCAATAGACTCGTTGGCCAGTTGGCCTGGCATGCCCAGAGCTGCACCCGTCATGGTGGCGGGGCACTGCTGATGTGGCACTGTGATGTGGCACTGTTACTGCTGACGTGGCACTGCTGACGTGGCACTGTGACTGACATGGCACTGCTGACATGGCACTGCTGACGTGGCACTGTGACTGACATGGCACTGCTGACGTGGCACTGTGACTGACGTGGCACTGCTGACGTGGCACTGCTGATGTGGCACTGCTGACGTGGCACTGCTGACGTGGCACTGCTGATGTGGCACTGTTGCTGACGTGGCACTGTACCAACCCGGACATGCATGCAAAGGGGTGGGTGGGAGGGAGAATGCAGGTAGGTAACCAACCCAACAATACTTTCCTCCGGCCCTAATCAACAGATAAATAAAAAAATAAAAATAAAAAAAGACTACTCCCTCCTCTTTTTTTTTTCTTTTTTTTTTGTATATCTGTCGATCTGTTATGAGTGAGACATGTCAGAAGAGTACTATGAATGAGATCTAGGCTAGGTTCCGCAAAGTTTCGGCTTTCACAAAATGCGGTCTTGAATTTTTTTTATTTTTTTTTGCGAAATAGAGTAAAGATGCGATTTTCAGAAAAGAACGAAATCCAGTTTCTGAGAATATAGCAACCTCCGAATATGCCTAACGAAATGTTGGTAGGCTTCGCAAGATTTCGGTTCCGAGATAGAATGGAATTTCGATTTTCAGAAAAGAATAATTCCGGTTTCCGAGAATATGACCACTTCTATCGTTATCCCAATATGCCTAGAAAACGAAATACTAACATCAGAAATTTTCATCTATGTATGCGAAATATCAGAGAAACGAAATGCTACTATCGGGAATTTTCAGACAAAACGAAATGCGATTTATCACAAATTTTCAGATATTTGTTACGTGAAAACGAAATACCAATATCAGAAATTTTCAGGTAAAACGAAATGCGAATATCAGAATTTTTCAGATAGTTGTTGCGAGAAAAGAAAAAATTTCAGAGATTTGACGAAGTCCTACTTGATTTACTAACGAGTAATCAATAGATCAAGCAAGCTGGCTACTTGATTGAGCGGGTCCTCTGAATGAGAGGTCCGCTCCGATACCAAACTGTCGCATACTGTAAAGGTGCAGACCAGAACAAGAACCGACCTCTCTATCAAAGTACAAGACAGCGCAGCGGAAAACTTAGATACCAATGATCCGAACAATCAATATTGCAATGCAGCCCAGAACATACATGATCATCATCATTCTATGGTGTGAAGGGGTCTGGCGCTCACGCAGGAAGAATGTGCCAGCCCCAACCATACACAGACGAAGAAGAGGAGGGGTTAGACGAAGAGGAGGGGAAGATGTGAATGTCGTCAATACCAAGTCTTCGGCACAGGCCCAAATAGTCCCTCGTCAAAATGTCTGAATCCCAATGTCGAGTCTGGATCCAATGTCGTCAAGTCTCAAGTCACAACTCTCTCTCTCTCTGTAGTAGTCTGCTGATACTGAGAAGTCAGGTGGTGAGAGGGTGAAGAAGAGATGGTGGACTTAGAAGAGGAAGAAGAAGAACTCTCTCTCTCTCTCTCTCTCTCTCTCTCTCTCTCT